TGCCATACTCAAAATGAAAAACCTACATGATAGTACTACTTCTCACCATATTGTGCGTAATAAAAAATGTTTGGAAGACCTTTTTGTTTTGCATGTATCTCAGCTTGAGAAAAAGACAAAAACCTTGATTTTGTTTTCAAAAGATGCACCGTCGAAAGCTCTACAAAATCTGTATAAACAAATCCCTATTGGTAAGCGAAAAAGTCTTCCAAACCTTTTTTTATTACGCACAATATGGTGAGAAGTAGTACTACCATGTAGGTTTTTCATTTTGAGTATGGCATAAACCATTAACACAAGTCAATAGGGATTTGTTATTGCAGTTTTTGTAGAACTATTCACGGCGCATCTTTTTAAAAAAATTCAAGATTTTATCATTTACCCAAGCCAAGATATAGACGAAATAAAAAAATGTTGCACACCCCGAAGATGACCAGGAAACTTTAAAAAATAGTACATGTCAGTGTTGTAACAGTTTCTCATCCATAGTGTAACCTATAAACCTCAAACTTTGTAGTTATGTAGTACTATATATGTACAACAATCTGCCAAAGTTTCAACGAATTTGCTTTTGTAGAATGCGAGAACGGTGAGTTTTAAAATCGTTTCAGAACTTCCGGAACACCCTTTATATTGCTGAAAAAATCTTCGTTATATAAGTATACTCATTGGTAAAAAAAATTTTCTATTTTTATTTCGTGCCGATGGATGAATTCAGGCCATGCCTGTTCATCTTTCTTTTTCTGATTGCTATTGTCGAATGCAAGAATACTGATGGTACGTATAGGATGACATTGCACTATCTGTGAGACATAAACTAAGAATATAGCACTATAAGGCCATTTCTTTCTTTTTTCAACATAATACTGACTGTAGTATTCGGCATCAAAAGTACACTGAGATATACCTGTCAAAGTTACCTCCTGCGGCATATGTCAAACAATTCTACTTCATATTACCGTTCTGTACAGAATCTACTTTCATATTTTCTCAGCTGAGACTTACAGGCAGCCATTATCTATTTGGTTCTACCTGTCTGAAACACGGTTATAAAACCACTGCTAATCATATGTTTTGAAATTTTTCAACATTTCGATTACTGAAATGCAGAAACAGATCATTTTTTTATCTAGGAGTCTACGTATGATTGTCTTTGTTTCTTTGAAATATGCATTTCGATGTAGTTGATTAATCATTTCGTTGACACGAAACATTGGTAAGGTTTGTTTTGTGTTCAGGTTGGCCCATGAGTGCATCTGAGACAGTACAGACCAATTGGACTGGTACTTGGTACGGTGTGGTTGAAGCTTATCCAGAGGGTGGGGTGTGGGTGTGAGATGTAGGTGTAAATGAATAGAAGGTCACATTCGATTCCCACTCCCACATATAAAAAAAATTGGTCAATTCTGAGATATCACTCCATTGTCGATGTCCTATGATGACTGATTTTCTCAGACATCCACTCTTAAGGTTTATCGAAGTATACACCCACTACCGCGTTTTTTTGGAGACAGGTAAGGTGTTCATCATAACCACCAGTATTTTCTAGTGTATCTTCGAATTTGATACCACGTTGCATCATTCGAACGATGCTCGTTTTTAGCTCTAGCCAAGCTAATTCTTATCCAATACATGCTCGATGTCCACCACCAAATGGAATCATCGTCAATGGATGATGATTTTGATCTTCAGCTAAAAACCTTTCCGGTACAAATTGTCGAGGATCAGCATGATGCCAATAGCGAGCATCAATGTTGATGTTATGTATAGCAATAAAAACAGTTTGGCCACGATGAATCTTCGCATCGTCAACGATGGTGTCACAAGTAGCTACACTGGTTGCGAATGCACCGATAGGAGCCAAACGTAAGACCTACATACAGAAAAGACTTATAGAAATAATCTAACTTGGAAACAAAAGTAACCTCTTTCGTCACACATTCACAATAGGTTAGCGAGGATAAAATCTCTGGCGTCAGCGGCGGAACATCTGTGAGATCATCAGTCATCAATAGATCATGTTCGCGCAATTCGTCTTTCATCCGTTGTTGTACTTGAGGATTTTTACATGAGAAAAATATGAACCATAATAGAGCGATTGATGTCGTTTCATAACCAGCTATGATCATCGCTAAAACTTCGTCAAATATTTCCGAAAGTGTTAGACCGAATGCAGCATGCTCATCGTTGGCTTCTTCATTCAATGATGAGACCAATGAATCAATGAGATTCTTTGGTCCTTCATGTTCTATGGCACTTTGTTTGTTTTGTTCTTTTTCGACGAGTTTTTCTGCCAATTCATGAATTAATCGATAAGCACGTTGATATTTCCAATTATATTTCAAATCGATTTTCCATAACCATCGAGACACCCAGGATGCCCTCATAAGCAATGTGCTATAGGAAATAAAGTCTTGAAAAGCTTTCTTTATTGACGAATTAGCATGGATATCGAGATCGTAGTTAAATACAATGAATCCGATGATATTCATCGTATATGATTGGCAGCACGAGATCAAATCTCGATGAATTTGACTGGGATGAAGATTTCAATCAATAAAGTAATCAGCACATTCAGCAATTGTCTCCAAATGACCGATAATCCTTGCTCGTTTGAACATTGGTAACAGAACTCGTATATGTCGTTTCCATTTAGCGCCATTCAACATTACAATGATATTTGGACAAAGAAGATCGAAGTTTGAAAAAACCAATGTCGATTGTTCGAAAGTATCACGATCGAAAAATATCGTCTGAACGTGTTCCATTAGACAGAAAACTAAGCATCGATATGAGCCGAACCAAAACTGGAATTTGTCACCAAAACATCGTTGATAATCGAGCAACACTTCATGAAACGTTAACCTTCTCGACAATGTATTGGAATTAATGAGATTACCAAAAAAAAAAGATGTGGTTTCATTCCTGGTAAGTCATCCAGTGATGAAGAGTAATCTCGTTTCAAATAGATATAAATCAGGATAATGACGATTATAAAGAGACTTGCGAATATAATTGATACCATGATGAAGACAGTTATCGTAAGTAATACATAGCGTTAATGTTCGTTATTAAAAAAGGGCGTATTTTCTTTTTCCTTTTTTAGACTCGCCTCTATTTAGTAGCCATTGATCTACTGACTTATGCTTCAAATGCGTTTATCTTTTAGTGACTATTTCTGAATATATTGTGTGGTGAGTTTTTCACAATCGGACCATATGTTAAAATTTATATATATTCAGAATCAATGTAATTTGAATAATCATTTCTGCTAAATTTAGAAAAAGTGATAGATGATGCTCTGTCATAATTATCTTTGGCAAAGGCTAAGTATTATGCTATCAAAAGACATAACAGTTTTTGAACTCTTACAACCCATATATTTCAACCGAGATCATGGTCTGTTGACAATGTAAATGCGCTGAAGCCGCCTGTACTAGCCACACTCACTGTCTTTCTGTAATTTTCGAGTTTGCTTTATTTGTAATAAAGACGACACTAGTTAATGACACCAACAAAATAGAGAAAAAAAAATGGTCACGGTGCAAATATAATATAACAACGTTGGAACTTATGCCTAATTTTTCGGTGAAATTATCTTTTTAATTGACTCAATTGTAAAATAACCCAAAACAAGTGCATCAATAAATCGGTCGTCAGAGTGAATCAAACTCGAGTCCACAGTCCATAGGTCACCTATATTGATTGATGATGGGAGAGAGCTCTCGAAAGATGTCTTTTGCGATTGAATTCATTTTCATATAAATTGACGGTAGTCAAGACACAATTGCTCAATATTATTCGATATATTCTTTTAGATAAGAATCTCATGTTTCAAACTATAGTGGTCAAACTTTAAATATTTCTTTTAACTTTAATTGTACTTTCTAGTATCATTCATAAAATCTACCAAATTTGCTTGGTATTTGAAGAATTAATTTTATTCATCTGTTTCGCAAATTAAAAAAAAATAGACATTTAGTATCAAATATTATAATAGAAGAATAAGGTAAAAAAATTGCTCTTATAATCACGAATTATATAAGGTAATGGAAAAGAGTTCAACAACAACATCTGATTGATTGTGTTTTTAATAATGTTAGGCATCTAGTGCAAATGTAAATCGTGATTTTATAACCAAGGGAACCTCCTATCT